CCTGGAAACATAAAAAAAAAAAATACATTCAGCCTTGCAATTTAGCCACTTCTTAAAAAAAAAAAAAAAAGGGGGGGGGGGAGTTTTGCAATTTATTATTGGTTATTCTTACAATGACAACATCACAAAATCATTTGAAAACATGAATCTGCTGAAAAATATCCCATGCTATCCAGACCAAGAATTTGAGGGGTACAGTTTGCTGAATGTGAAGAAAATGATTACTTGGTACAATCTCAGCATAAATGTCTTCTGGCACATTTTCAGATAGACAGAGTCCTTTTAATTTTTCCAACCTGCATAGGAGCTGGAACAAAAAATACTTTTGTGATTTCCTTACCCCATTCTTAATGTTGGTCTCCCATCGTAGTGACATGGTTTTTAAGTCAAACAACTTCACATCTCCATTGTCATATCCAGCACATACAACACGTTCCTCTTGGTTGTAAGCATTGCCTGGACACAGAGAAGGAATTAATCAGAATAAAGAAACCCTTTTTAGTCTGTACATTTCAGACCCCCTAAACCTGCAACTTTAACTTATATTTATGCCAGAAAAATATTACTATTGGGATATTAAGATTTAATGGACTGGCTCATTTTCAAACCTGAAGGGTATAGAAAAATATAGCTTCAAAACTGGCAGTCTGTTTCTTTTAAAAATACGGAAAAAATGATTATTCCTCCTGACAAGTTCTGCCTAAACCACACAGTCTAAGTACTGTACACTATTCTTGTGCAGTACTTCCCTTAAATCTTCATCTGTTATAAACCATGCTCCCGACAGCACCGTGGCACCAGAGCAGAAAGTGGTTCAGCACCTCCTCAACCAGCCTCTCGAGCACGGAACATGAGTGGGCAGGAAGACCCTTCTGCAGACACAGACTGGGAGGGAGGCCTCGGTGTCACTGTGGCCATCACTAGACAGATGCAGAAGCCTGCCTCCAAAAACTCCCAGCTGACATGGCCAAGGAAGCAGATCAGTGTCTGAAATAAGTTAGTTCAAGATGAACCTGGCCTTGGCTCAAGCTTCAGTAACTCAACAGAAAACTGAAGAAAGTATTAGGCTGCTTTTTCTTCTCCGTTCATCAAAGCAAAAAAGATATCAACAGCAATGAGGATTACAGTTGCACCTTCTTGCCAGGAAACGGCATCTCTTTACTATCAATTTTGTAATTGTAATCCGTGTACTTACCAGCAGTTTGTAAAACTTACTCCCTGACTCTGGAGGCAAAATGGAGCTAGTCCAGAAATACCAGCTTGTGTAGAACACAAGTAGCTTGTTCTCTCCAAAAGAAAAATGCAGAGCACACATCAAGCATCACTGTCATCTTTAATTAGCTCTAGCTTCAAGGATCTTTCTTAAATTAATGCCTTAATGCCTGACACTTGTAACTACACTACAACAGCGATTGGTGTCCTGTGCACTGCAACATTTACACTCCTTCAGGACAACGCAGCCGGACATACTGTTTTGCATAGAAATAAAGCTTGCACAGCTTATCTGTGAAATCACGGAATGATTTAGGTTGGAAAAGACCTTTAAGATCATCAAGTCCAACCACAAATGATGACCAAAGGTGATAAGAGAATGAGCGCAAAACCCAGCTACCATAAAATCAGCTTCTTTCGAGAAAAAACAAACACCAAACCACATTAGGAATACATAAATTTGACAATGCTGAAAAGCAAAACCTACTACTTATGCAGCCATACAAAATAAACTAATCCATACCATCCTGAAATACTTTGACAATTATCAAAGCACAGTCAGATGGAGGAATGGTTATAATCTGCTAAATTACCAAATGCTACTGTCCAGCAGTCTCTTTTGCTCTCCCCCTGAACAGGCTCCATATTAGCAACAGGAGTATCTTTCTGTCTCGGGTCCCACACCTTCACAGTTCCTGTGAAAGAAGGACAATGGATTTTGTATTACAGGTGCACCGTCATGTTGCGTTCATCTTCCCAGGGAAGGCCCTTCTTTGCTCTTCAGCCTGATCATTCAAAACACAGGAACAACTCTTTCAATTCCAGAAAGCCAGACTGCATTTAGTGGATAGAAAAAAACAACCAAATAAACAAAACAAATAAAGCAAAAATATTTGTCAAGGATGTATTTTCTCCAGATGATATTTTGCATTTATTCTGTTTTGTATTCCTTTTGTCCCATGCTCAGTGACAACATTATATTTTGTTTATCCGTAGTTTCTAAAAGAATTAAGAGAAAATTTGTCCCAAGCAAGATGCAAAAGACAGCATATGAAGAACTAGTTGCAACAGACTTTTAACTGGTTCAGGTGGCAGACTGCACCCTGCCATCAAAGCTCACAGACTACTTTCTCAGAATAACTGAAAAGACTTTCAGAGTTCTCTAACTCACCATCTCGACTGCCAGTCACAATTTCTGGTGCACCTTCCCCAATTCCTAAGCCACCTACACCATCTATACTGTTTATGATTTCCTTATGACCTTTCACAGAATACACTGGTATTTCAGGAGCTTCTAAATTCCTAGGCAAGAGAGAAAAAGACAGATAACTTGGCATTTTCTCTGATATTCGGGATTTGTACAAAAATGAGAGGAAACTTGAGCACAAATTATTTAAACTCAGATTATTACTGAAATAAAATATGGATATCACCACTAAAAACCACGAGTCTTTGATTCATTCTTTGGCTACTGCTTTAGACTGGGCTGGAACTTTTTGCTCAGTTCTGGACTTCCCTGTTTGTAAAGGAAGTTGTGGGATTCACCACAGCAACCTTTAAGAACCAGTTTTTATGTTGGGCTCAAAATGAATCATGCGACAGATAAAAATTCTCCCATTAGCTTTACTTTCAGTGAGTATATAAAACAACCTTGTTCACTGATCCCCACCTAGTCCTGACTACTGCACTTCAACTTTAAATGAAAGCTGCATCCAGCTGTGGGATTCACGGTTCTTTCTCACCAATTCTCATCCTTTGAGAATCCTTCAGAACTTGAAATTTCAACTAGTAACTAACCGATGTCATTCTTGCTATTCCAACAAAATAGAACCAATAGTTCCTTGGTAAGGGAAATATAGTAATAATACTACTAATAGAGTAATTGTTATAATAATAATTATTATTACTATTGAAATACTAAACCTCTTTTTGACCCTGTAACTTTATTTCATAATCAATTTACCAACACAAATTAATTATACAATCATTCAGGGACCTGAAAAAAACATGTGAAACCTCAAGGTTAAGAATACATATTTAATCTAGACATCAAATATAGGTTGAACACAACTGCTTATTTGTACTCATGCATCCATTCAAAAGCCTCTTTTCAGAGGAGGACCTAGAAGAACAGAACTTTCTGCAGCAGCACACAGAAGCTGCAATGTAACAGCACTGCATTAAACCACCGTGCAGAATTCACATTGTTTTTACAAAACCAGCATGTTCCAGTACAGTAGCCAGCAAAGCTTATGACTGGGTCCCAACTACGTGCAGCACAGTGAGCATCTTCTACAAAAGCCAGCCACACACAGAAACATCAGTTCAAGAGACTCATACAACATCAAATGAAAAAGCTTTGAGAGAATACGCGTGCTTACCATATGTTAAGGTTTCCACCAAAATCTCCTGTAGCCACATATCTTTGCTGCAGAGATGTAGCACCAAAAGTTCCACATTTTATAGGTTTAGACTTTTCAATCTTTTAAAAAAATGATACGTTCTGTGTCAGCACAAAGGAAAAATCAACACAACCGCAGATTGTGGCACCAGTTCCTTGGGAGACTGGGTGACAGATTCAGTGAACCGTACATAGGATACTCGATGTAAAACACAATTAAAATGCTATCAAAGGCAAGACCCACTTCGTGTTTCTTTTTTTTTTGTGCCCAGAAAAGCAGAGACTTCAGTTTAACGGTCTTAAACCTCTCACCTCGGCTGGCTAACTATACTCAGAGGCTACTGTCTCTGTTGATGTGCAAATATAACACCAAGGGAATCCCAGCTCTGCCCCGAGCCCCGCCGGGGAGCGGGAATTAATCCGTTATTTTGTCAACCTGCGGCAGCACCGCGGGGCTGCCCACAGCATCTCGGCCCTATGCACCGACACTAACTGGGAAGTTCATTTACTTGCGGTGCCGGGGGCCTTTATGAACCTGAGGGTACCCCTGAAAAACAGCAAATCCCTAAAGGTCAGTTTGCCTTAAAAAACCCAAAACAAAACAAAAAACCCCCCCCCAAAAAAACAACAACAACAACAACAAAAGAAAAACAAACAAACAAACAAAAAAAACCAACCAAAAACAAAAAAAACACAAGACCCCACCCCAAAAAAGCCCCCAGACACAAGCGGAGCCCCGAGCCTCCACCTGTCCCCGCGAACGCAAACCGTGACAAGGAACAGGCTGCGGCGAGCACGGGGCGCGGCGCGAAATTACCGGGATTAGCAGATTTTAACAGGGCAAACCGAGTCCCAAATCCCGTGAGGATTTCTCGCCCCTATTTCTTTCCCCCCCCCACAGCGACTCCCGCCGGCTGCTGGCCAAACGCCCGGCACGCCCCGCCCTCTTCTCCCGCGCTGGCTGAGGCCGCAGGGCAAAGGCCTCGGCGGGGCCTCATCCCGGCAGAGGAGCTCGGTGGAGCTGTGGGGGGCCGCGGCGGCGCACCGCGGGCCGCTCCCGCCCGCCGCTCACCTCCCTCAGCAGCGCCAGCCGCCCGCCCCGCAGCTCGTACAGCTGGAGGAGGCCGGTGCCGCGCGCGGTGCTGCCGAGGCAGAGAAGGCGCGCGCTGCGGGGCACCCACTTGCAGTCGAAGAGAGTGCAGCTCAGCGCCTGCTGCGCGTGCGCCACCACCTGCGGCCGCTCCGGCCCCGCCGCCATCTTCCCGCAGCGGGAGCGCCGGAAGCGAAGCGGGGCGGGGCGGGGCGGGGCGGGACGGTGAGGTCCCTTCCGGCCGCCGGTGAGCGGGGCACGTGGGCGCGCTCCTTCTTGCAGCGGATCGTCCCGGCCATGAAGGGCGAGGCGGAGGCCGGGGAAGATGGCGACGGCTGCGGCTTCACCAGCGTCTTGTCCAAGCGGAGCCGGCGGAAGCGGCGGGCGGGGACCGCCATGGACACGGCGGAGCCGCAGCCTAGCAAGAGGCCGGCTTTTCCGCCGGTGGCCGCCGAGACGCTCGGGGTACGCGGGGGTGCTGGGCGGAGGGCGGAGCGGCTCGGGGCGAAGTGAGTGCCGGGGAGGGGGTGAGCAGCCCGCTGGCACCTGGAGCGGTGCCCGGCTGTTCCCCCCCCCCCCCTTCGGCTGCACGGCCTTCTCCCCCCTCACCAGGTCGGAAAAGGCGAAGTGAGGAAGGTTCCCGTGCCGGCCAACAGATACACCCCGCTGAAAGAGAACTGGATGAAAATATTCACGCCTGTCGTGGAGCACTTGCGACTTCAAATCAGGTTTAATTTGAAAACGAGGAACGTTGAAATCAAGGTAAAGAGAGTGCCTTCTCCACCTTTCCCACCTGAAATGCTGTGCCTCGCCTCGTAGGTGGCCTTGTTCTGCGTGTGAGAGGCGAGGGGAGGTCCTGAATCCCAGATAATGCTGGGGAAAACGGAATCTGCCTCGTTGCACCTAACCGGGAAGCCCTCACTGGGGATCAGAATAAAATCTGTCAGTAATTGCTTAGAAGCAAGTAGTTAATGCAAATAAAATCAGAAGTGTTACTCTCTTAGGGAAAGGGGCCAGCATAAACTGGACGGCTTGTTTTTTTTTTTTTTTTTTTTCCCGATTTTTATAGGAGAAATTACCTACTTGATAATTAAGGAAGAGTTGTAGTCAGTGTGTTAGGTATGATTTTGACATGCAGCGTTTTCCAGCTGTTTAAGGCTAATAAGTAATTCCATGACAATCTTAACAGAGACTTTTGAGGGGGCTACTGAATTGTCAGTTATCTTTTGTTGGTGGCAGAAGGTAAGGGCCTGTAGTGCAATACCTTGTGATTTTTCTTTAATGGTTTGCACTGAAATAGCTTACGATACAGATACCGATATATAATTGTAAACCTTGCAGATGCTCATTTGTCATCCTTATTCAGACTAGCTGGTTTTAAGAGTATCTCCAAAGCTCAGGCCATGCCTCTGAGCTAGGCTTACTGCATCAGTGATGTTGATGTAGGAGATCTTCTAGTGCAATAGCAAAAATACAGGCACCAACAGTAAATTTACTTCCTAACCTTGAAACCTTACTACAGGTTTGATGGTAGGAACTAGAGAAAAGGTGACAGCACTATTCCTTATTTGCACTTCCTAGAAATAACTTGAAGGAAAATCTGGGAAGAACAGGAACTCTTGCAGTTCCACTGAATAACTGCAGGTGAAAAATTTAGGATTTGAACTCTGCTTTTTGATACAAAGTGATGTCTGGTTGAGAAGCAAGGTAGTTTTGATCAAGCCAAGTTCATTTTGCCCATGTCTTATCACAAATATAAAACGATTCAAAACTTTGAAATCAGTTTCTATAATTTCTTTGATGCGGCACGGAAGCTATAAATGACATTTCAGAATACCTTCTATGTATTCCAGGCTTTAACATAATTATCCTGCTTAATTATTGTTTCCTGTTTTTTTTTTTTTTTTTCTTACCACTTCAAAGAATGTTCTTTTATAAGCTGTCCCCATCAGGATCTGTAAATGCAGATGTGCAGAAACGTTTTCACTGGTAGCAGAGAAATGCTTTGGCCCAGTTTTAGAATATGATCTGGAACCCCGCCCTGCCCCCAACAGCAAGTCCTGTGGCCTGCGCTGGCAGCAGGAAAAAAAAAGTAAATACTCCAGCACTTGCTGCTTTGTCAGATTGATTTGTTCCTGTTCCAAATTTCTTGTTAATCTTTCTCTTGTCCTATATGTTTTATTGAACCTGACCAGGTTTCTGTTCACCTGCTAAAACATAGTTAGGATATTGTCATTAGAATAACTTCCCTGCCTCAAGGTGTCTCATGCCATCATCCTTTTTTTCTGCTGTTCTGTGTTGCAGTTTAGTTTGCATTGTTTGGGGTCGTTGTTTTGTTTTGTTTTGTTTTTTTTTTTCCATAAAAAGGGTTCTCCCCTGTCAGTGGTGGTGATTCTCAGCAGGTTCTTTCTTCCCTCCCCTCCAAACACAGGCTGCTGCAGTAGCTGATGGATTCTTCTTGTTGAGGGTCAACGTTATAAAAAAGCACAAAGTCTATTACTTGGGTCTTTGAGTAAGACACAATATAGGAGCATTACCTGAATGCAGTCTTTTTTATGGTTAGACTGTATCTCTTAGATTTTTTAAGTCCTGATCCTACTTGCATGGTCTTAATTTGTAAATATAACTTCCTGTTTTGCAGACTTGTCAAGAGACAAAGGATCTCAGTGCTCTAACAAAAGCAGCTGATTTTGTGAAGGCATTTATACTTGGTTTTCAAGTAGAGGTGAGTCTCCCAACAGCTAGAGTGGGAGAGTGCTTGCATTTGCTTGCATGATGTCTTTGGCCACCGCGAATTACAGTGAGAAACAAATACAAATCCTTAGGTGTTTTTCTAAAAATGCATTTGTTTGAAATGGTGACTGGAATTGTAGTTTCTTAAGTTACTGCAGGATAAAAATGCAACCTTTAAACAGCACGTAGTTAAAATTATGGAACAGTGGACATACTAAACTGTATGAGAGGCAAGCATGAAGCAGTAATCTGGCTCCGAGGTGCTCTGCACATGTCAAGACTCTTCACTTTGTTTTCGTCCAAGCCAGTAACCTTTCTTTTCAAAACTCAAAACCAACCACTTTTTGCAGTATCATAGGGGCTGCTTGGTGCCACAGACCAGTACTGACCTCACTGGTAAAGGTGGGGGCCTGTAAGCACATGCAGGGTCCTGTACACAGAAATAGACATTTACACTGCTATTGAAAAAATAGTAGATCTAATTTTAGTGACTATTTTCTGATATGTTAAGTGGGGAAATGCTACTGATGATACCTGCTTCTGTGTGTAAAGAAAGCATCAGCTTTCACGTGTGTTGTGGTACTGTAGCGCTCATGCTGATAACAAGTATCTTAATGTTCTAGGATGCTCTTGCTCTCATCAGATTAGATGATCTTTTTCTAGAATCATTTGAAGTTACAGATGGTAAGTAGATTCTGCTGCAGTATGCAAGTAGTTGTCTGCAAGTATATTTCTTCTTTCCCCCTGCTCCACTTGCGTCACTCCTCAAGGATCTGGAAAACCTTCATGCCATTATACCGAACTATTGTTGAGGTACAGGCATACTGAAGGGGCTGTCACTTAACTAAGATGTCCCAACAAAACCCCCCAACCTTCCTCCTTGAAAGTGTATCATTTTGTCAGAGTGATTTTTCTTGTGACAATGTAAACATTGTTTTAAACTCAAAGGTGATGTGGAGTGTTTTGGGGAACACATCCATTAGATTTTTAAACTAGAACAGGCTTTGTTCCTCCCACTATCCTGACAGCCAGGAGGGCAGGGCAGTGAGCGCATAACAGAAACACTTTTTGTTTCATGTATTACTGGGACTCCGTGGAGTCCCCTTTAGAGCAGCATCCACATCTGATCCGTTTCATTTCTACGGGTGGCAATTGTGTACACTTTGGCTCCGTGTCCTTCCTCAATCTCACGTGCTCAGGAACGAAGGGAACGCCTTCCAGTGCAGCTCCATATGAGAATTTCTCTCTGCTGCCAGACCCCTCATCGTCATGTAGCACTAGATGTGATTTTCACTTTAGTCACATAAGGTGAAATATGTATGTATGTATGTATTCACCATAGTAAAGTGGCTTCCAGTAACTTGAACAAGGGAAGCCTTACAGAACATACCACTGCTGTTACAGTGAGCATGTTGTTCTCATTTCAGTCAAACCTTTGAAAGGAGATCATCTGTCAAGAGCAATAGGGAGAATAGCAGGGAAAGGTGGAAAAACAAAATTCACTATAGAAAACGTAACCAGGACACGAATCGTTCTAGCTGACACGTAAGTATGGACTCGCTTCCTTCAAGGCAGAGCACAATCCCTAAACTAATTAATCGCCATGCTCTTCCAGGACAAAAGGAAAATTTCATTTTTTAAAACAGTGGTACAGCAGTACTAAGAAAAATTATTTCAGTGCTAATTGAGAATTGACTTTTTGTTATGAGAATGACAGTGTCAGCAGCACACCTAGAATTGAGTAATCCCCCACAGCATAAGAATTCCTTCTTATGAATAATCAAAGTTGAACCCACCAACCCTGAAACGTTTTCCTCCTAAAACTACTACACTTAAATTTTAAAATTGTAAAATCTATTTTAAAGAAGGACTTAGAAGAGCATGGGTTTTATATTGTAGAGTTTCTGGTTTTGAGGTGGGTATTTTTTATTTACAAATGCAGAAAATTAACTACTAGACTCATCTGAAATTCCATCTTGATCTTTCACTTCCAACCTTAAGTATGTAGTCACAGTTTTCTGCCACTAATTAATGCTATTTTGGCTTTTTTGCAGGAAAATTCATATTTTAGGATCTTTTCAGAACATTAAAATGGCACGAACAGCAATTTGCAATCTAATTTTAGGTAAGTCCTACTATTTAATGTTTACCATTACACAGAAATAGATCTTACGGTTTGAGATACTGCTTTCTTAAAGGTCTTGCCTTCTTCCCTGCTGTGGCCACACCTGCATTTGGAGCAGGTACCTTGCTGGGCATTCATGTTTGCCCTGAAGAAAAGGGTTTGGGGGAAGGAAGGAGCCCAGGGCTTGGTTTCTGGCTCCAAAACCCACTCCATGATGCAAAAGGAAGACTTCTTGCTTTTTGATTTAACTGCAGCATTCCTTGAGGGTCTGTTTTGAATGTACTGTCCAGAACACCAGAAGGGGGTAACCATCAGCCAAAGTTTTAACTCTGCACTTGCAGTACCAGACAGGGTGGCTAACCTTGACCATCCTTCTCACCCCTGGGCTTATTTCTCCACTTTTAACAGACATGTTTCTGTGACACACATTACTGTGACACACATCACTGACTGAATTTGTGCTTTCTCATGCAGGAAGTCCTCCATCAAAGGTTTATGGCAATATTCGGGCAGTGGCCAGCAGAGCAGCTGAAAGATTCTGAGCTGCAGCATGGCTGTACCACCAAGGACAAGGAGTTGTGGTTTCTGTGTGCATGAGAGCCAAGGAGCTACACAAGCACTCGGTCTTCTGCTTGATTTGTGAGCCCAGAACTGGGACTGTTTGTGCAGTCCAATTTCAGATGAGACCTGCTGTCTGCTTTGAACACACTCAATAGTTCTGTAGAGTCATTAAAAGTTGTTTTAATGTGGTTGTGTCTACATGAGAAGTACAGGTACTTGATTTTACTTAAACAAAAACATGCTTCATTACCAACTTTCTGAACGTGAAATTAAGAGAGTGCTGTCAGAGCTTCAGAAAGCCTTTATGTTTAGTGGTTTGAGCCTAAAGGAATCAGCCTAGTTGAGTGTTCATAACCACACATCATGGATCAGTATCTTCCTGGAAAAAGGAGTCAGCTGGAATGCAGTGTTCAAGGCCAGACTGCCCAATTAGTCTCTGCTCCTGTTGGAACAAGGTGTCACACAAAAATGGTAAGAGGTAAGTAGCATATTTGAACTTACGCCTAGAATCTGCACCTATTTAGATTCTACTTTTTTTTTATTCTCTCACAAGTGATCTGTATGGGCAGCCTAGTAAAGCAAAGACCCTCCAGGTGAAGTACTTGCCAGTGTGCTGCAAACAACTGTTAAGTGCTGTATCTCCTTAAAATGCTGCATGCATGCAACAGAGTAGGGGGAAGAGATGGCAGAGACCAGCCATAGCCCTGATTTCTCCTGCCCATGGCAGCCAAACTCGCTACCTATTCCATTGCAAAATAATTCAGTTTCAGTTTGTAAAGAAAAATAAAACCTGAAATGATAATATAAAAGACACTAGCTAATTGAGTAAGCATTTCACCAAATGTTTCCAGTGCAGCATGGTGTAGTATAGGATTATTACAACCAAATTAATTCAAGCCTCCAGCTGGTAAGAGATTTAAGACTTGCTGAGGTACCTAAAGGTGCAGCTCTCAGCAGCAGTCTGAGCTATACAAGGGGGAGTGCGTCCATTCCAAGCAGCTCAAGGTACAACCATGCACCTATCTGTTCAGTGGCTGCTTATGTCATTTAACTCTAGTAGCTTGGAAGATAAGAGGGGAAGAGTGAGGCAAGAACAAAAGTAATCTAATCTTTATCCTAAAGCAGGCACATACCAATACCAACCAAAAACAGTTGAAAGGGAGAGGGCAGCATGCAGAAGGCCCAGATAACTGCACCAAGAGCAACAGTGAACAGCTTCTGTAAAGGACATACCTGCTACAGGGAGGACTGTTTTTACCGCAGGTCTTAGACCTTCCCTTGAGAAAGAAGCTGCCTTTCATTCCCCATCTACATTAAGGTTAGGGATCTTGCTTTGGTTGGTTTTTTTTTAACCGCCTTCCACTTACCACGATCATTCTGAATTTCAGAAGATTTAAATCAAGATATTTTATCCAGTTTGGACATTTAGCAAAGAGAACCAGATATGCCTTTAAGAAAAAAAAATACATAAATGGGTCCTGAAACATAGAAACAAAGCCTGAAGTATTCATGGGATTCTCTGCACCCTGAACACTTTTCCAATAAAATCTTTATACAGAAGAGGGGACAAACACCATGAAAAAGAAGTTTTTGTTTCTTGAGCCCAGGGTGCAGAGCTGCTTTAAGTTGAACATAAAAGGTCAAGGTAGATACTGAAGCACCCCAGCCAAGGTTCAAATATTTTATTTTGTATTCGTATACTATGAAGGTTCTTATAGTTCCCACAACATATGATGTAGCATGCAGAGGAAAAACTAAACATTCAACATAAATCGTTTTTCCCCAAACAAACTAAAAAAAAAAAAAAAACCACAAACCAAAAAACCTCATCCCTCCCCCTTTCAGTCCCCTTAAGGAAATAACATTAGCACTAATTTCTATAATGCCAGCCAAGATATGCACAAGCAAGTAAGAGAAATCAAAAGCATTTGCTAAAATGTTTGTAACAAATACTTACGTACAAAAAATTCACAAAAGACTAGTTCCCCCTTGAAGCAGAGCACATGGCAGTTGACACTGGAACAGATACAACCACTGGCTGGGATTATAAACCACGTACTGATCCAGAGGAAGAAAAGTTACATGTAGTGGAGATTTTTCTTTTTGAACATGAACATTTACCGAAGTTTGGCAACATTGACTTTTAAATTATGCAAATTATGTAAACAAGAAGAACATTTTAAATCGATCTACATGCAAAACTTCGTATCATGCAAGGACACCAAGCACCTGGATTTCTCTCTCACAGACAGAGCCCATGATGTGCAGCACTCAGTTGAAGGAACAGCTATGGCAGACAGGTGCTCGACTGAAGTAGGTTCAGACAACCTGCACTTTCCACTGCTGATTATAAAACAATTTTTTCAATAGAAAAACTACTATACAGGAAAGATGTACTGTCCTAAAAAATCTAGCAAATGTTTTCTTCCAGCCAATAGTACCATTGCAGAAAAGGGAAGGGATGATACAAAGTTGTAAAACATGGCTTGCTACTTTTATATCACACAAATATATCAAGTTACCATCCATTACAAATTATGATATGGACAAATCTAGAAAAGAAAAAATTCTCCAGGCAAAGGACTGGAGAACTGCAAGAGGTATAAATTTAGATAGTGTGAAGTTTTCCTCCTCTATGGCATAGGTTAACAAGATTTTCCCCCTGTATGAATCCTATATACATATATATATATATATATAAAATATTACCAGTTTTTTATGCTACCTGTAGTATTCTTTAAATGCAGAGGGGAAACTACTATCATGGCTGAAACAACAATTTAAATGGCAAGAACATTTTATAATCTACGTATTGTATAAAGTAAGTAGATGGGAATCCTGCACAGTTACGTTGATCCAAATTTCATTAAGCTAAACACAAGAGAAAATCATGAATGCATCTAACACCTTGAACAGCTGTGTCTAAAATTAATCCAGAACAGCAGATTTGCCTTAACTTCAGGACAGCTGTAACTGCTCCCAGTTCCTAGATGACAAAATCTAGCAGCCATCAAAGCATTCTGCAGTTACTATATGCACATAAGGGCTAGTTCTTGGCAGTAGCATTAAACTATTCTCATATTAAGTAGAACTGTACTAAGTTATTTAGCAAAGAGACACAGTCCCTGGTAATATATTAACAGGTAGAAATAAACTTAGTCTCCTGTGTTACAAAAAATGTAATTAAGGTAAATTAATAAGAAGCAATGCTTTGTCAGCCAGTCAATATATAGAAACGTCTGAACAGTCACAGGATAAAGGAAAAGAGTTGACCTAACACCCAGTTTAAATTTTAAATTCTTCTACTATATATATAAAACTGTGTGAAATAAAAGTAAGGATGTATATCCATATATTGAACTGTTAATATTCTGCTTGGCACTTTGTATTCTAGTTTTGTTTCTGAATCAAGTATATTAAATTAAAGCCCACCTAGCTACTACATATAGAAAGCTACATATATATCTATATATAAATACACACACACATATATATATATAGATAGATATTTTCTTGTTATAAAAGATGAAGAAAAATAAATTAAAAAGCCAACCCCTTCCCTTTCTCCACCACACTGATATGCTCTTTCCATCTTTGCTGTCCTTCTGACTTTAAAGTGCTACACTGAGTTATTGAGAGAATAAAAGTTCAACAACACTTAGTTGGCTTCATGAGGCTCATGTTGGAAAATGTGGCTTCACAGAGTAAAATACTTCAATTTAAATACACAGAGAGCATTGCTGGACGTCTTGAGCAGATCTTCAGAGATGGAGAAGAAAGCAAAAGTGTTGGGTGGTGCCCTACAGAGTCACACGTCTACGACCATCTTTTTGTGGATATCTAGGCCTCCTACAACCTGGGAGAAAAATAAATGTTCAGAGATAGAGGAGAATTGAAAGTTAGCAAGATACAACAAACACTTTATTCAGAAGATGCATTCAGGTCCATCATAATTATAAAACTTCCCTGCCCTCTCCAAACTAACTTACATTTCATAAGTACTGCGACATACGTGAATGCATTATGTATTACCCAAGGTAATTATATTGATACAATTTACATAAACAAGGGTCTGAAAAAGTGTTAATTACACCATTTTGGCTTTCCTCCCCATCTCATATTCTATCTTGTATTATGTTTCTGCATGTTAAGTGACACGCTAACTTTACTTCTAAAACACCCTGTAAAACTGCATTTTTGCATGAGAGGCAATTGGCCTTAGGAAAGGCGGCAGGATTTCTGACAAAACTGCATGCATGCAAGAAAGAAGACATATGATTCACGCACAGAAAAAGGAAAGATGTGATGTCAGAGGAACTTTATAATGAGGAAATAAAATTCAGAGGCCAAATAGTGTGGCCAAATACCATGAACAAAAAGGTGTATTTGTAGATAGATGGCACAAAATTCAAAGAAGTTAAAATGCAAGGAACAAGAGGATACGAGATTGTAAGAATGAAAGATGTCTTGTCAGGTGGTCAACAAAAAAATGGAATTAAGAGGAAGAAAATCAAACAGTAGTACAAAACAGGAAGTCTGGGCAGAAGCCCAAGAACAAAAGAAAAGGCAACATCATTTTGGGTGGATGGCTAGAAGACAACAGCCCAGGGCAAGAAATTAAGAGGTATTTCACTAATTAGGTGTTTGTGGGCTGCAGCTCACTCAAGAGTTCTTTACAGATGACAGTTTTCACCTTGATGCCACAAAAATAACTGAACACTACAAAAAAATATGCAGAAAACAGAACCTTTTTGCTTTAATGGTTTGGGAGAGGGCAGATTTTTTTTCTTCCTTCTTTTTTAGAACTTTCATTGATCATGATATGATCAAGTTATATTTGAACTGAAGTTGTAAATTCAAAGAGTAGGAAACAAAAGCAATGGTTGAGTGCCTACTGACTCAAACCGTGCTACCCAGGTATATGTTCATTAATACACCATTTAAAATTAATCTCGAAATACTCATTATTGCCATTTTCAAGTTTCTATGTGTCATTTCCTTAAGGACAGAAAGATTGTAAAATCTGTCAGCTAATTAAATATATGATATGAGCAAAAAATCAACCCTTTCAAGTCTGAAGTGCTACATTCAAGCATTCTGTGTAGTAAAATACGAAGTTTTAAAAAATGCACCTTTGAACTGTTTGTCCTTTTTCAAGAGTAGCACTTGGAGTTACTCTCCCTGTAACTGACACAAATCCTGCCCTGTGTTCTGCAGATGGTGATAATCTCCACAGGCTCTCCACCTTCTGCAAAGATAAACCTTTCTAAAGGGTGATTTGGAGCAGACACCTAGTTCAGAGATTGGGAGATTAACCTAAAGTTCACCTCTGTGGAACACACCTCTCCCTTCCACCAACTAGCCCTGATAGCAGATCTCTTTCAAAAAAGTGTCACAATGACATACTCTGGTTTTACAGCTTTCAGATGGTTTGAAGCATATTTTCCCCCTCCCCAGACTGTACATGCCTGCCCACCATGCTTTGATTTTTTTCACTCAGTGTATTGTGTTAAGCAGCTAGAGAAATTTAAACCAAGTGCTGTTTCTTTTTTTAATCAAACTGCTGAAAACAAGGAAAACCAGCCTCCTACAACAAGCCAGTCACTCACAACTCATCTTTAAAGCTGCTATTTTCTACCAGCATAGAGACTGGAATCCAGTACATGTCTTCATGTCAGGCTAGCAGTTTTGTCTATACATAAAAATAATTAGGACTGGTCTTGTGTTTAGTATGTCATGAAATTACATAGAAATTTCTTTGTAAAAATCACTGTGCATGAAACACCCTCTTCATCAGGCACTCCAGATTCAGTGGGAAAGCCTGCATCCTAACAGAAACAATTCATCATGTGCTCATGCACTGTAAGACACGCTGCTCTACTAGAAGTCACAAGACAATGATACCATTTATAATAAAGCTGTGCCAAAGGGTGACTGTTGCCAGATCAGAAGAAACACTCTGCTTTTATAATCTAACCCTTTATACTGCTTACCATTTTTCTTCCTTTTTAAAATTCCAAGTTATCAAAGTTTTCTTTAAAGGTTACTTACAGCACAGAATTCTTCAAAGGATATTCTTCCATCACCATCCTTATCTGCATTAATTATGGTTTTATCTACAATTTGCTGTAATTGAGTGTCTTTGAGATTGTTCCCAACCATCATCTTCAGCACCTGGAAGAGCTCTCCATTTGAGATATAACCATCTTTGTCCATATCGTAAATGCGAAAAGCAACTGCAGAAGTAAAATATACACCTATGTAAAACTTTCAGTAACACACGTAGTTGGAAAAGAGCAATATACATTCATGTGCTTTGCATTAACAATAAGTGATGACACAATACTGCACAAACTGCGTTTTAAGTGAGATTTCTAACAGCCTTTCCATTTAATTCTGAAAAACATAAAACATCAGAAGCGATACAATGAATGGTGCTGTTACCAAATTTTTAAAAAGCTCACTTTAGAATTGTCATCAAAATGAAATCGTTTTAGACCAGCAGTAAAAGACCTTTATAAACACTGAACTGGAAAGTCTTCACCACCACACAAAGCACCCAGGTAGTAGTTCATTTGAAAGCAGAAAAAATTACACCATTCCAGGGAACAGATGGAATTAAAATCCCACCTCATTATTTTGCTGCAAACAATTTGGCATTAAGACTGAATTTATTTTTAAACACTTCAGTCCTAGTTATGGAAAGCTACGCCCATGACTGAACCCATCCCTTCCCCTACTCCAAAAGCTTGGGTTGTATTCTCAAGATGCAGTTCACAAGCAAGAATTTAGTGCTGTTCTACTGCAGTAGCAAAAAACCTAATATTATTCTTATGCTCCCATAAAGCCAAGCATATTGCTCTGCAGTCTTGTGAACTAAGTATTCTTACATTTTTTTTTTTTTTTAAGCAGGAAGTAACTGAAGATATTCATAATGCAACCTCCTCAAACCTTCCCTGTCAAAAAGAGCACTGGCAACTTCTTCACACAAATGACAATGTGAACAAAAAGCTTGTAACCTACCTTAATGATTTCCCAAAGAATCTGGAATCACCAATTTCTCAGCATTAACAAAAATGTATTTTTGAGGATCAAAATATTTTTGTTAAGGAAAATCAAAGTACTTACACCTCAACTTCTGTTCCTTATCTCCTTTGACACTGAACTGGGAGACTCCTTCTATAAATTCTAAAGAACGTAAGAAAAACATTTTTAAAAGCGCATGTTTTTAAACCCAAAGAAATGAACATTCAGAGATTTTTAGAAAATGTAAGAAGAATCCAAATTGCCCTCAAATTTTTAAAGTATTGCCTACCTTGTCATGCCTAAGTGTCCACATACCTTGACACTTTATTCTTTAGTGGGAAGTACTCCAAATGCAATACTGCGCTCAGACTTGTTCACGCCAGTATTTAAGTAATTTTGTTGCTAGCCTTTCACAAGAATCTGATATAAAAGCCCATCAAGCTTTCTACTAAAGCCATTCCAGTGAGAGTTCTAATTACAGAGATCCTCTCAAGAATAGTTTCTCAACTCAAAGCAAGAATTACATTAAAACTGAAAACTGCTCTAAAAGAAATTCCTAAAACCATATTTTTCTGTAAGAAATAAGGTGAAAAGAAATTTTATACTGTTTAACAACGAAGTCATTATCCCAGGAGCAAACTCTTGATTTGCCAGAAAAATAAACCCCTAGGATATGACCCCGTAACTAGACTTTACAAGTTTTGGGTGGTAAAAATCACAACAGTGCAAAGCTGCAAACTAAACTATGGTATAGGAAGGGTACAGAGGTATAGCAGTATAGCATTAGGTAAAAAGGCCTACTACAGTTTCAACCAGTTTGTGAAATTAAGTCAACAATTCATATGATTTATCAACAAAACATTTAACTAATAACTTGATTATCGTGGGGTGGTTTTTTTTTTTTTTGGGGGGGGGGGGTTTGTTTGTTTGTTTTTTTGTGGTGGTTTGTTTTTTTTTTTTTTTTTTGTTTTTGTTTTTACACCATTATGCTTAAAGATTAATCTAAAAAAAAAGTTTAGGTCTTTCAACAAAAGAACACAAGTTTCCTCACACTAGTAGTTTCCCCTTTCATAGTGTCACAGATTGGTTTAGGTTGGAAGGGACCTTAAAGCCCCCCCAGTGCCACCCCCTGCCCCGGGCAGGGCCCCCTTCCCCCAGCCCAGGGTGCCCCCAGCCCCGTCCAACCTGGCCTTGAACCCTTCCAGGGAGGGGGCAGCCACAGCTGCTCTGGGCACCCTGGGCCAGCGCCTCACTGCCCACATCATAAAAGAATGTCTTCCTTATGTCCAGTCTCAATCAATCCTCTCTCAGTCTCAAACTTTTACTTTGAGCTTCCCTCTTAGACAGAAATAAAAGTTAATCAAACTTGGCCAGATGACAATAATAGAATTCACTGCCACTTACTGCAGCATCATCATTTTACTATACAAAATTGTTTTTGACAACTTTTTCCACCCAAGAAGAACAGCTCTTGGTAATTATATATTAATCACAGCTCAATGTCACATACAACATACCATCATCTTTCATCTATGCTTGTTTTTCACAAGGGAATTTTGAACAGTTACATACAATATTTAGTGCTTCGGAAACTGATATCAAGAAAGTCTCAAAAACTCAACATTCCAGTTACACTGTAGCTCTCCCCATAAAAATTTAAGGGGTCTTATAAAGGTTAGCAGCTTTTGTATGTTAACATTTTGTTTAAAATGTCAGCCTGTCAATATAAATGAGATTTAATAACTTTCTCCAATTAAAACTCAAGAAAAAACAATTAACCTTTTCTAGTCATGTGCAATAAGAAAAAATAAACATTAGCTTCAAGAGAAGTTACAGACATTATCACTTCTAAGGGTCAGAGACTCTTTTAACAAACCAGTAATGAAGATTTTTAATCTGCGGGCCTTTTCAATCATGAGTATTTAAAAGAAGTCTAAAATATTAGAGGAATGTACTAAATCAAAACTTTTGTTTTTCACTTAAAGTGTCTAGCCAAGATCGTAAGAATCCTGTAAAGAAAGTACCAACAGAATAAAACCAGACCACTTTCACAATTTAGAAATCAATTTTCAAAATGCTCCAAAAAACAGATCTCATAACATTTGGATAAATAGAACTTATACACAGACACACCACTTGACAATCTACCCCACTTTTTTCAGTCTCTTCAGCCTAAGAATATAATTCAGATAGCACTACAATTACGAGTCTGAATTAGTGTACTTCAAGAGATACTTAATGAGTAGTCCTAAACTGGTATGACCTGGAAAGCTATTACTAACAATCTGCTCTTTTAAGCATTTCTTTCAGGAGTACATTGCCCTAATGCACCAGAGAAACTGGTTTTACTGGCACTCAGTTTCATTAGGAATTAAAACCTTATTTTGATTACCAAATTTCGTTTACCTTTCCTTTCTCAGCTAAAACATAATTTTAACTCCAAGGCTTTGGGAATTCCAAAAAAATGCCACCACCCATCACAAAACACTGTCTTACCTTTGAAGTCCACTTCTCCATTTCCATCTGTGTCAAATATATCTATTACTCGCTGTACTAGTGGGTTCTGTTGCAGTTCAGGTAACGACATGAACTCTTCCACGCTCAAAGAACCAGAGTTGTCCAAATCAAGCTTCTTAAATCTCTTTCCTAGTCGTTTTATCTCATCAGCATCAACTAAAAGGAAAAAAAAAAAAAAACACACCCACACCTATTCTCAGAAATGCTTCAGTAAAACCTCTGCCAGCTAAACACAATGCACTTCATTGCTTTCCTTCCAGAATTTATCCTACTTTATTACAACTACTAAACCCTCTTATGCAAGATTATAAAAATAATGTCAAATTCTGAGGACAAACACAAGCCTTTTCATTTTATTTTAAAGAAACCTTACCTTTTTTCCTCCCTGCACCAGCCATAATACAGCTAGCCTTGTGACTCACTGAATACCATATGCTGACACAACACTTTTAAGGATTGAGGATGCTTAGCTAGTTCTTAGACAGCTCTTACAAATACCAGTTATGAAGAAATTAAAGAGACCAAGTTTTCTTTGAAGGAGCTAGCATCACATTTACACAAGACTAACACAGTAAGTCAGAAAGACAATTATATTAGTAAACATATTAGCAAAACTAGTGCTTCTTCAGCACAACAAACAAGGGTCTCCTGGGATATGTGCCAAGTTAAGCAGGTTAACACAGTCCCACTGTTGATCAGTTGTCACTCACCTACTCAAAACACCACCCAGACATCCTAAGATATTTTTTTTCCCTCCATCTCAAACAGGAAATAGACATACCAGCCCTCACCTGTATACATCTACTTTTTTTTTGTCCCAGAAATTAAAGCCAATTTGGGTTCTGCAACAGTACTACTTTACATATCCTCTTCCAATTTAAAGAGGATCTTAAAGTATATACCTAGTACCCTACTTTACACCTCTGATTTTGCCAGGAATAGACTAAATCTGTGAATCCATAAATACCACTAAGAAGTCTTGTGCTCTGTTACTGCTGAAAAGCTTGAAAATTTTTCCCTGCAACGACCTGAAAATTCCGTATCAGCAGCTTGATTTACAAGACCAAAGTAAGTTCATTAATTACTCACCATGTTTAGGTATGAAGGAGAACTGAAGTTCTTAGGAAGTCCCAGAAAGGGGCCAGCAAACCACAGCAAACCTATCTTACAGAGCCTAAGCTTTCAAACTCCCCATACCAATTTCTTTCCTAACATGAACAATTTCTTCAACACTTCTTCGCTTCATTCAGTGCATTTGCTCCAGCAATAACAGAAATTGTTTAACAGAAATTGTTTAACTTCTACAATACATGTACATGTCACCTGATCCACTTTACATCATGTTAATACCTTCTTAGGCTTTTATAAAAAGTACAGCATAAAAACAAACAGCACTTAGTCTTTCCAAGGTCAGCTGGCACGCAGAGATTTATCTTTGGAGACTGTAGCCAATTCAGAGACCTGATTCTCTACTAAAGCAGTAACAAACTTCCACTTAAATTTCTTGATGTCCATCTCTAAAAAAGTAACCAGACACAAATCCAGATTCCCACACAATTGCAGTATTTCAGAGCAAAAGGGTGACAGCATGCCAGAAGCACAAGATGATTTTCTGTCAAGACTTATTTTGCCTGAATAATGAATTGTGACATTTTGCAGTTAGTCAGTCTTGGTAACTGATTGTGACTACAGAGGCAGAGGTCAAAGAAGGGTCAATATGCCCAGGAAAATCTTCCCTTTGCTGTGCCAGCACGTGACAGATCTGATTCTGCCTCTAGGGCTACAAAAATAAGGCTAAACAGCACTTACAGGCCTAAAGCAGTTTCCTCAGTTTCCAGGATGCCATTTGGCATTTTAATTAATTAGGGTCTCAACTACAATAAGAACACATTCCTTTTCCCACCAGTTTACATGGAAACCTACAACATGATTGAAAGCATGCCCCTAAGAGCGTGACACTGCACCACAGCATCAAGAGTCCACTAAGTATAGCTACACAGAAACCCCTCTGGAACACATGAAAGGAGCTGTATCACTGTATGGTAAGCTAAATGTAAAAAAAATAATCACAAGACTAAATGAAGACTAATAAAGGAGAATGAGAAAGCGTAGCTCCACTGGCAATTAACCCAAATAACTGCTTATGAGTTCTACCAGCATAAAATGCTTCTCACCAATACACTGACGGTATTTGTCAACTCTTGCTTATGTCCACGGAAATTCCTTGGTTTCCATTTTTCTCAAAATCTTAAAACTCTAAATGGAGTCAGTCAGTCTTTGAAACGGTAGGCACTATCCACCCTCATTCCCTGCCCTGCCACCCTAAAGTTATCAAACTGACTACAGTTTAAAGCAGAACCAGCACCTTGGCAAGCTGTTAACATGGAAAACTCATTTTTACTGCAAGCTCTACTCCAGACTTGCAACTCACATAGAAAGAGTTAATATCCTAAAAAAAACCCAAACCTCACAGCACAAGTGTTTGAAAAAAACCACAAAACCATTAACCCTGGCTCATACTACATATGGAAACACATTTTCCAATGTAAAATGAATTTATATACATTATTGCAATATAGAAATAAGGACTTTTCCAGCCATTACATCAATCTCTCTCTACTTCTATTAGTAATGTTTAAAACTATGTCCTGGTCCAACCACAACTCTCCTGCTTCCTTACCCAGACTCAGAAATCCTAACATCTTTCAAGTACCTGGCCATTATTTTGTTAAGACAAATCCCTCACAAATAATCTATTTTTCAAATCAGAAATTTGCAATTGCACCTAGAACTCATGCTGGGAAACCCTGAAATAAGTTCTATTAGAACTATTTCCTACTGGAAAAAAACAAGAACAATAACAGGGTACATGCATTATTTATTTTTTTAAAAAATAGCTTCAGTTTAAAACAATTAAGCAGCAAAGTGGAAGTATTACCCACAGTATATATAACGCACCTTCATCCTCTTACCAGATCAGTGAAGTATCACTTCCAATATTAATAGGAAAACTAGCACTGGCTAGAATTGAAAGATTAAAGCCTCCTAAGCAACCTGAAATACTTCATAGTTTCCTAAGTTCACAAAATCACAATGGAGAGAAATGGAAGAAGCATTCAAGTAGCTGCATCTCTTCTCCCTTGCCACACAAACTGATGAGTTAATGAATTATAAGTTTTGAAACATTTCTAACTTACACTTAAGAAAACCAGAAGTATCAGAACACAGCAATGACAGGATTACAAATCAGGATGTAAACAAACAGATGCCTGAGCCAGGACCAAAGACCAGCAGTCATGAGATAGCATCACCTTCTTAGCACCCAGCAGCAGTGTTAAGCAAAGCCTTATTTCATGACTCCAGTCCATTACCTGGTTTTAGAGCTGAAGTCCATTATATTTTTCTTCACAAATATATAAGCAAAGACTGAAAGTGATACCCAGAGTTCTGTCAGCGCTGTGCTATGAAGTGGAGCCAATTATCACACATACAAGTCAATCAGACACTGCTACACCATGTTAAAGTATTACAGCTGGAACAAAAGACAGACAAGACCACACTGCCATCACACTGGTCTGCTCCAGCAGAGAGGTAAGATCTTCCACACAAGCTCGGCTAAAATAAAATATCTTTCTGGCAAAAGTTTATCTCAAGCTAATTATCTCTAGCAGGACCTACCAATGTGAATCGAAAAAGAACATCTTACTGAGACATTTAGAAACTGATCCACAGCACACAATGTTAATGAGTGATGTTACACTTGCATTTGCAGTTACTCAGGTACTTAAACTTACAAACCAGCAATGCTTAAGAGAAGCTAATGCACTAATTTATTTTTTCTTTTAAAGACTGTAGTCAAGAAGGTCAATATTATGGATGATTAAGACAAGAATCAGATTATAAGTAGACAAGGGGGCATATAAGAATATTTCAAGAATGTTTTTTGTGTTTTGCTGAACTGTAGCAAAGCAACAACTGCCTTAATTATGAAATTAAAGAGTCTTCATACTTTTAAAACTTTAGTCTTTCTTCACACATATACACATCCAATTTCATCTCATATGATCAATTCCAGTTCACCTGCAACAGAGTCCAGGTACAGATGCTGACCAGCAGTTTCTACTAGAAATGGGTATTACAAATTTCTCATTCCTAACCTTGAAACATTCAAGCAAAGGGTTTGCCTGCATTGGAGAGCTAAGGCAGATTCTACTCTTGAGGGAGGAAAAAAAAAAAAAAAAAAAAAAAAAAAAAGAAGAAAAAGAAGAGTACTGAAAAAATTAGTATCTCTGACAAAAGCTGACCAACTATCAATTTCATCCAATGTTTTACTGTGTTTCTGGCAACATACACACCATGGATGAGAGTACTTGGAGAAAATAATGAAAAAATCAAAGTAATTACTAGAATAGGAAAATTTCCTTTAATACTTCACAAGCATAAAAGCCTCTGTTCATAGTGAACATATATGGATAAAAACAACACTTGCAGATCAGTGTTTCATAACTGACTGTATGAGAACTTAATATCAGAACAATTTCATTTATTCCTTTAATACATTGCAAGCACCTCACCCACCTTTAAAACCCCTTCGACAAGCTGAAATTTAAGCAGTTTATACACTTTTAAAAAGTCATATTTCAGTAATATCTTTGTCTTCATACAATAGCTTTTAAAAATAAAATTATAAGAACACAAAATAAGGGATGAATGCATTACAGTATAATCCTTATTTTAAATTTACATCATTTTTGTATATATCTTCCTTTAGTTCAGTCATCACACTTCTGCTGATTCTCTCTACCTGGACTGAACTTACCTAAAAACCACATAGGTTTTTGGGTTTGTTTTTTGATTTGTTTTGAATTTTTAAAGGAAAATGGCAAATGTTTATTGTGTAACAGCAAATTTCAAAAATATCCTATTTACTTTTTGTCCAGATTTCCTCAGTGAATGCACAACAGTCCTCATATCTGATGGATGTGCCCCTTTTACAAGACTCCTTTTTCTTCAGTATTTAGCAAGACTGACGTTCTTAATATTTCACATAGCTATCACTGAAGAACAAGGTACTGAATTAATTTATCAGAGCCTGAACAAAATACTACTTACTTTCTTGTCTGAAGGCTCTGTAATTACAGGTAACCTAGTGCCCACACAAATATGCGGAAGCTATACTGGAAATGCAAGGCACAGGATAGTTCAGATACAGTGAAGGTTTCTGAGCCAGAACTGGTGGTGGCAGTAGTAGACAGGATTTTACAAGATTCAAGCTCAGGAGACCAGAACAGTCATGAAAACACAAGGAAATCCACAGGCGGTCCAAGTCCACAACAGTGTAAACAGGGTGATAACATCACTGAGTAAAATAAGGAGGATCAAACTTTGTTTAGATCATTCGGAGCAGAGTTTGCCTCTGACTCATCACAGCCAACTGGGCTTGCCTGAGCTCTGGCCACAGCAAGCATTCCTCTAACCTCAAACACAAGTTAGCCTTTTTTGCGCTTTGCTTACCAGCTGACAAGAGGCTCTACCCATCCTATGCTTTTCAGCAGAATCAAGAAATATCCCATCAGCTTGCCACTGGTGCCTGAGCTTACAAACTTACAAAGTGGCTAGAAACAATACCCATTATGTGTTTTTCTTTAAAAGGCTTTGCTGGTAGCCCTGTAGAAACATCCAATTATTCACTGTTTTAAAGCACCCAGTTTTTGATGTTTATTTCATAATCCATTTTGAATTTCATTCACCTTGTAACTAACACAAGGTAGTTTTCTTTAAGCAGTTTTAATCCAATTTTATTTTAATCCAGTATTAAGGATTTTTGGTTCAAGAACTATCAGTATTGTTGCAAGATTCCTCTTCTAACCAAGTATTAAAATTGTAGAGCCAACAATACCTGCTTTGTATCTTGATTTCATCTGCATACATGTAAAAATGTGATGAATCAGGTTAAATTACAAGAACTCAATGTTTTTAAGAAAGCACATGCAAATGCTTTTTGTAACGCCCATTTTAGTACAGTAGCTTTATCTTTCAGCTGGACACTCTCTAATATGTTGATACATATTACTGAATACTCCTTTCCCCCAACACAGAACAGTGGAAGATGCTCCATGATGTTTTAAAACAATTGTCTCAAGCTATTACTCACATAAGTGATGATCAAAGAGTATTGTAAAATGCATTTGAGTGTCAACTCAAACAGCTTCATTAAAAGCAAATTTCTGGGGTGCAACGTGCTCTACATTGAAAAAAGTAACTTAAGAAAATTTATTTTAATGATACTTTTTCTAGTCAACAAAAAGGTGTGTGGCTAGTTTGCTATTAACATGGCAGTCGAAAGTATAGAATGCTTTAAGAAATACAGATCTCTGAAATCCACTACATTCAGTGGTATTTTTAGCAGGGTAATTGCTTATGTATTCAGAAGCACTGTACATCCATTGCTGCAGCAGTACACAACACCTACACAGGCATCCGGCAAATTGTACAAACCTTAGAAAAACCTGTACATCTCTCAAAGAGGTGCTGGGCACTTCCGAAATCTGTTTACCTAAATGTTTAAACCTGTATTGGCTCAAAGTTATAACCAACAAAAAACAGACCAGAGCATGGTCACAGAGAGCCTAGTTTCCACATATTTTTCAAATATGAGATCACTATAAACAAGAATATTGCTAAGGTAGATTTTGTAAATAAAACATGTTCTGAAATTTATTTTAAATGTTTCCAGATTAAAAAAAGGTATTTTTTCCCATGTAAGAATGGACTGCAGAGATATCAAAACAAAACAGACCTTCAGCAAACACTCTCACCTCTATCTACAGTCTTGTCTGATTCACTAATATAATGTTTCAGAGTAGCAACCAAGACAGCCATTTCAGTCTTGGAGATCAGATTTCAAGAAGATGACGCCCTTGAGAACACATTCAACCACTTGTCTTGTATATGCTTACACACAGCTGGCCTAATCCTTTTCATGACTTCAGATGTGTCAATTACAATTTCCCAAGTTAGAAAAGAGATACTAGTCTCATCCTGAAAACAAATCATACTATAAAATATCATACTATAAACTTTTTTGTACTGTAAAATATTGTTTACTATATTCTATAATAGTTTTCTTCACAGCTTTTTGCTATGGTAAATTTTTCTTATGTAAAATTTGACATAGCTTGGCTGACATAAAATTTTCACCATGAAAAACAGCACTAGATTTTCAGTAATTTCTGACACAGCACAGTTGAGAAACAAAACCATACTGTTTTAAGAAATCCAGCAATGCTAATTTACCCACTGAAAAGAACTAATCTTCTAAAATGAAGAATAAAAATAATATTCTTGACTATTTAATGGCATGCATACTCTGCACAGTGTCCTGAACTTGCTTCCAGTAACTGCCAACTTAAAAACAAAATTATTCTTATAAAACAAGATGCCAAAATAGCAACTGTAGCACCAGCCAAACATTATGACCCAATGCCACCATGCAGACAGCATAAACACATAATTGCTAACTGACAGTCTCCCAGAAGTCTAAACATTCAAAATCCTTATGAAATTACCTTCAAAAACATTGTCTAGTCTTGCCCTGAAAAGCTTTTGTCCTGTCAGTGGCAACCACTTGGAAGCAGCATGAACATTTAATATTGGAAGAACAAGGTGAATACCTACCTAGTACACTTATTTACACATGCTACTGTACATATCTGTGACCCCAAAACCCACAGCTCTTTCAGGATATTCAGGCATGCAGAATGTTGAAGTGCCTTGCAATCACTGCAATGATTAGGCACAACAAGCAAAGGGGCATCTGTGATAACTACTTCTTCCTTACCACATGCAGTAACGTTGCCCAGAGAAGCAGCTGACTCTCTGCTGTGAGAAGGGCCATCAAAGCAGAAAATGCTTTAATCATGTGAAACCTCAGATTTGCACTATGATATCCTCAACATACAGTTTAACCCACAGAACATAATGCGGAAATCTTAACTTTCTCTGCAATAAAAGGGGGCAAACAAGTTCAGTAATAAACCTTTAGATTAGCAGTTGCTATCAACAAATATAGCTTGTACAAGAATCAAACGTTAGGGATGGCAACACACTGCTTGCAACTCTGCCAAATACATACCTAGTTTAAAAAAAAAAAAATAAAAAATAGATCTTCAGAAGCCAGTTTGTCCCCAAGGAAAAACTGACCAGTGGAGCAGTAACCTAAGACTGATATGCATGATTCAGGAAAAGACTACTGAAGTCTTCATCAAATATGAAACTTCTACCTACATATCCACGTTTAACAAAACATACACCAAGAGCATAACACAGCAATGCAGTGCTCTGGATAAGATTCTTGAGTATTTACACACTGGTGACCCAAATTCTAATTAATGTGGACATGTGTATTAGGCATAGAGGACTTGCAAATTATTAGCTAAAGCCTCATTTCTCAGAAAACCTTTTAGAAGAAGATTCCTCCGTAATTGTTTATATTACCGTTTTGCCTTATGAGAGCTGGAGTTCAGTTCTAACTAGCATTGTGAAAGCAATCTAGAAAACAGTCCCCCCCCCGAATAATTTATTATCCTGTTTGAAAAGCAAGATCTGATTCACTGAAGATGAGGAATTTTATCAAGCAGTCCATACATACATACACAGGTCTACACATGATTTAGTGCTGAGAAAAAAATAATTCAAGGAAAGGAGCAGTTAAAAATAAGTACATTTAGCATAACACCACGTGGGGACATCGCAAGACAACCATTTCTTTGGTCAGCTTTTTTTACAGGGTAGACTAGCCTCATGAGGCTAATGGCCAAAAGCAAACACAACCAAGTGGCTTCTCACCTAAACGTCTGGCTAAAGAAACACACAGGAAAAAAAATATTCTTTTAGCCTCAACCTCCCTTTCCTTTGAGGGTGCAAAGACAGCTTAGACAATATACTTCCTTCCTAACATAGCACATACTGCGCTACAAGCTGTTCCACATCTCTGAGGAACTGGCACTATGACCAATGAAAAAACCTCACCAGTTAACTACCAGTTATAACACTTCACTGCACAAACATCAAAACGATAAGTTTGTTTCATATTCTAATAGAAAAATTTTTAAAATGACTTCTAAATATTTTCTCAAAAGTCGGACTGATTTTTGATTTTACAATCTAACAGCAAAAGCTATATTTTTTCCAAAGGTAATCTTTCACCTTTTAATTTTACTCTTTTGATTAGTATATAAACTGCTTAATTTTTCAAGCAGCAAATTCAGTGAATTCATACATTAAAGTTGTACATATTGATCTTCAAGTAGGATCAACCTCTCTAACAATAAAATATAGCAATTAAACTTACAGTGGGAGCACATTTCCAAAGGGTAGCTTGCCTCATTTCCCTGAAACACAAAAAAAAGAACAAAATTGCAATTATTCCCAATTTATCTTAAAGGAACTACTTTAAGTTTCAGCACTGTAAAGATCTCAGGAGCTATAACTTACATGGTTATTTAAAATATATATATTTTAAATCCAACAACCATAGAGAGTGTTTTATTTGGATAGGTCTGTGTTACCAAAACATACAAAGAAATATAAAAATCACTGAGTGGTCTACTCGGATGAGAATTCCCATGAAAATATCAGCAGTCCACATAATAAGAACTTCAATCCCATATTCTAAACCTCAGAAATCAAACTCACTACTTACATATGGTGCAAATGCTACTTTTTGAGTTAAAATAATATTTAATTTCAAGACTTTACATAATCTGCTTTACAATTTTATTTTATACACAGAAACAGACATGTCCTTATAAATTACCATGACAAACCTTACTCAATTAGCATAAGAAAAATCTCAGCATATTTTATTTTTTCCCCAAAACCACTTGCCCACTCGCCCCAAAAAGGATTCACATAGGAAGAATGATACAAAGAAGTGGTTTACATAACCGGAAGTTCAGACATTATAGCTTTACATTTAAATGTTTCTGTAATGTACTACATTAATATGCTCCTGTTTTGTAGCTGAATTGACAGTTAAACTACGATTTTAAATCCTTGCTGCACTACAACACAGTCATAGCAAGAAATAAAAAACTTTGAGGGTACAGTCACTTTGAACTTGCACATACTGAAATCTGCAACCGCTGCAACATGAACACCAGAAGACACTAAAAGTTGGTATTTTTCCTCCAAATGCCTCACTCTGAGCCAGAGAAGATCACAATATAACATATGCTTAATATTTTTTCAGAATCAGTCAGCAAAGGAGTGACCAGATAACTGAAGAGGTTCATAACCACTTATTTTCAAAAGATTATTTTTAGGGGAACGTTTTATACAAGAAAACAAAATATTTAAGATTAGTCTAAGACACATTCTATTCAGCATTGATTCTCTTATGGTGTGGAACGTAAGGGATTTCACAGCTGAGCACTTGCACAGAAAGACTCCTCAAAATGATACAAAATTAAACCAAAATACAGAGATCACTTGACAGAAGAAAAAAAGGAAGAACTACATTTAGCCTGGAAGCGTGCAACTGCATTTCCTAATAAGGACAGAAAGGGGCAGAACAAACATCTCATGAATCTAAACATGTCTGAAGAGATATGTTGTTGGGGGGGGGTTGTTTGCCTTTAGCATTTTTTTTTTTTTTTTTACCTCCAGAACACATTCACTTTGCTTATCCCCCACAATGTGCAAGCTCTCTTGCTTCTTTAAAAAAGTTAATACTTTTACAAGTAAAGCAGCAAAAGATACAGCCTTAACTTCTTCCTAATGTCTACTTACAGCAAGACAAAGTAGCAGAACAGAAACGTAGATGAGGACCATCATGAGGTCCCTAAAACCTCAAAAGTACGACTGAGATATTCTGAGAGAAACTTATTCCACTGTGGCAGGGAATCCAGCAGAACGGTGCCACTTTGATTGGGTTCCGTCCGAGATATTCCAAGTCTTAGAAACAACAGTGAAGACCAAAACAAGTAGTAAAAGCCTAGTGTATGTATATGAATATAAAAGGGTAGGGGATTTAAAATGGGGGAAAGCAGAATTTTGAAACAAGAAGAAACAGGAACCAGGAGATCCAGCTAGGCTGCTCAAGACACGAGGTCATGAAGAGTCAAGAAAAGCACCAGACTGGAAGGCTGCAAATTAAAGGAGAAAGTTGAATTAAAACTAGTGCACTTATGCACATGCACACACAAATATACAATCATAACTACATTAGAAGACTGTTCTGGGCACTTACATCCTTGTTCAGACGTTGAGAAAAAGTTAATTTCTAATACAGGCTACTTAAATCAATCTGCCTAAAGAAGCACAAAATGCTTCTGAAAATTGAACATGAAAAATTTGAAGACAGGGATAGCTTTTTTCAGTTCATGAACTGAGTAAGTCTAATGCTTATAAGGAATCTTACTATGCATATAGATGTACATGTTACACCATAATCAAGTAATCTAAATGAAGTAACCTAAAAAAAAATTTGGAGCGCAGATAAAAATGTGAGTAAATTTCAGCTTAATTTTTCTGCAAAATAGTTACTGCTAAAGTGTTAAGAATACTTACTTACCCAGGACTGGAACTTGGATATCTGTAAAAAATTAGAAAAATCTAGTAAATTACAATGTAAATCAGATGATCACTCGCAAATTGCTACACAGTATTTAAATAAGGTATTTTAAAAAGTAGATACCTGCTACTGATGTGCTGAGTGTTCACCTTCACAGGAGAATCCAAAAGTCTAAGTTTTTAAAATATTTTAATCCTTTTTGGGTTTCTCTTGGTACAAATAGAAGTTCAAGCTACTCTCGCCAAGATTGCTGTTTGCTGTGGTCTGGACAAACACTAAGGTGTTCCTCTATACCAAAGACTTGATCCTCAGAGGACATTAATGATTTTGGTTTGGGAACAGGTATTTTTCATCATATTCTGAACAACAGTACAAAAAGGACGCTCATTTGTCCCCAGATACAATCAGAATGTGTACATGGTCTGTAAGATACACTATAAGCCCTTAAACACAAGTGTTAAATAGGTTGAGTATTTTCTTGCTGTTTAAGAATAGGCAGGGAGTAAAAGGGAAGGTCTCGAGCTGTATCTACATTAATGTGTTATGAAAGAAAGCAGGAAAGGAAGCACAGCTATGAGACTTCATAAAGTACCAAATGAACCCTTTAAGAAAAGGGAAACAAATCAGGTACACCTTTTCATCTGTACAGTTTTAATGCAAATTACCAAAGTTTAACACCAGGACTACATAGCATTCTAAAGAATGCTGGAAAATATTACTTTGTGGTTGGATGCACTAATAGAAAATCTGACAGGTACTGCGAAAGATCATCATAAATTATAAACCTCATTCAGCAAAATAACATTGTACTGACATTTTTTATGTTATAGTTCCAAGATAATGAAACTCATTTATAGACAAAAGTAACTAAAATCTCCAAACAGCATGTCATTTCATCTCTGATGCAGAAAAGTTGATTCATACAAATAAATGTGTAGAGTAACAAGGTAAAGATTGGCAACAAACACATAATAATATTAGTATTTCCTGCTAGGTATATATTTAGCATACCTCACAGGTATGAGTAAGTGAGAGCATCCTCTCATATACACCATAGTAGCACATTTAGAAACGAGTAGCATATGGTTTGCTGAAGAAAAACAGCTTTGTACAGCATCAACCCTCCACAACAGATTTTCTTGGCACCTACACCTAGTATAAAACATACTTTCCTCAGCTGCATCTGGGTATGACTACCCTAACTGCTGGAGTTCAACTCTTCGAATTACACAATTAGAACAAGTGGCTGGAATACTATGGCTATTTTGAATAGCCTTATTATTTTAGAATAATCTTGAAATTTTCTTGAATGCTGTTAGATCCCTACAATTTAACTGCTGATTAAAGAGCAGCAAAATCATGACTTACAGATCAAGGAACAGCCCAGAGTCTAACAGAAGGCTGACCAAACTCTGAATACTGCAGACATATCAGTTTGCTAGAGAGAAGTCAAAACATGTCACTAAAGTATTTCAGAAGTTTACATGACACACAGTTTGTTCCTTTAAGTATAAAAATGTTCTTTGCAACTATTTATTCTTTTTCTTCTCTCAGCAGCTGTGCCTTTTTACTAAATAAGGACAACCTTTTAATGGACTTTAGTCTCTATTTCTTCTGTAGATTGTCCATAAAAACATGTTTCTCAATGTGTCTTTGGCAGTTACTTCAAATACTAATTACTCTTTCTTCTCAAGACCAGTTTTGTACATACTTCTTCAAGGTAGGACAGTTAAAGGCAATTATCTTGACAAGTTTTCTTCTTAGTGAAGCACATGAGCTGTGGATAGAAAATAAAAAAGGAAATTTGCAATTAGCAAAATTAGCAACAGCATCTAAATTCTTAGCTGAAACTGTTTATACAAATCAGCTTGTACACAGCAAGACATCAGACTGCAAAACAGTTCTTCAGCATACATTAGTAGAGCACACTTTCTAGATCCATTTTATTGTATGTTACTTTTCTGCATAATGTACATATTTTTGTAAATGGTTCAGAGACTTAAATTACAGTGACAGCCTTCAATTAGTTTTCTGCTTTTATAAAAGCAGAAAATGTGTTTAAATCCCAGCAAGACAGAATGTCAGTTTAGGACTCATCTCAAATTTAGTCCTCAAAAGGTGGTGTGTGAGTGACTACAAATACAAATGAACTCCTGCAGCAGTTTAAAAGTTAGATTGTTTCAAAGCTTTTGGGTTTTGTTGGTTTTTTTTTTTTTTTTTGGTTTGTTTGTTTGTTTTTTGTTTTGGTTTTTTTTTTGTTTGGTTGGTTGGTTGGTTGTTTGGTTTTTTGTTTTTTGTTTTTTTTTTCTCCATAGCCAGACAACTAATTAAGAAGTGGCAAGAGTGGGCTCCTAAGATCTCTCTAGTACTTGTACAGGACCAGTTGCGTGAAACAATTTCTGCAGGAACATGAAGTGTTTAATAAACTCATTCTCATCAGTGGCCTCAAACATTGGAAGTGCCTTGACACTGCAGTTGGCTGTTACACCTATGCACCAAAGCTTCCCACAGAAAGACAACACTAAATGTTTCTGCATTTGTATTTTTGATGCATGGGCACCTCATGGAATATTGTCACCACACTATATGTTGTGCTTCCTGCATTTGCTTCTGCACCTTTTACACTAATTATCTTTGCTATCACAAGAAGAAAACTACAGTAGGCAAGTAAAACAGTTAACCAAGCCATGTCAGCTGGGGATCAGAACTAGGGATTCTCAAATTAATCAACTTCCATTCTTTTCTACCTGTAGTGGGTGATGGAAGCCAGCTTTTTGTGTAACTTGAGAATTGGGGTGTAAAGAAAAAAGATGGCAGAAGCTGGAATCAGCATTTAAAAGAGCCTACTCCAAAGACCCTTCTTCCTCTTCTACAAACACACAGAATGCTTCTCTACCTTTCTCATTCTTCTCTATACAACTGAAATGAATGATTAATGAAAATTACCTGTTGCAGAGAATTCTTCCTCCTCTTTCTCCTTCGAGATCATTTTCCATGTACTGCCATTTTCACAAAACTTTAACAATGAACAACTGCCAGCTTGGCGAAGAGGAGTTTGGGGGTTTGGTTTTTGGGTTGGTTTTCATTTGTGGTTGTCAGGTTTTGTTTTTTGTTGGGTTTTTTTTTTTTTTTTTTTTTTTGTAAATGACCATTGTTTAACAAGTTTGGCTGTCACAGGATGGCACTGTATTCTTCACCAACCAACATCAGGCAAGTTGGCAAACAAGAAAGGATGGTATTTGTTAAAGGCTTTAACTGTCACATGAACAGAACACACCAGACACATCCACAGTGGTTTAAGTATTTCTTAAAATTAGTTTCAGACCAAGTCAGTGAGGCTTCAGTCCACTTCAGTATCTGAATTTCTGAATTAAACACTGGTCACAAAAGTATGAAAAGATCTCATCTACTGTAATTTGTACATTTCATATGTGACTTACTGGAGCAATTAAAGCCTAAAAGGAGTTTGCCAGAGCACAGATGAAAGACATGCCTAAAGTTTCTGTAGACACCACAGGAAATACAGCTTAAAACAAATACAGGAATAAGGTTTGAGTGGAAAAAAGCAGCAAGAAAAACACCTTCATCTACCCCATTCAGATACACAAGATACATCTACAGAAGCTAACTATGAAATTTATGTATTGACCTTAAATCTTGGTATTTAGTATTTCCTACGAGCTGTTGTACCTTAATGTAAAAATGTACACATTTTTCTACTCTAAATTTGCCAAGAGATTGCTAACGTGTTCTCCTCCTCTGCTTCATTCACATACACAAATATTATCCAAGTGTAAATTCTACCAGAGTTGAAAAAACTAAACAGCACATTTTTAATGGCCCAGATAATGTAATAATTGAACTGTCAAATGCTTTAGAAGGTCTAATAATCTTTTAGCTTAAAAAAAAGAGAAAATGGACCAGTTTCATTTGGGGTCAAAAAAAAAAAAAACCTGTATCTAGGTAACACTTTGTTGTCCAATCAATTTATGATTTCCTTTGATGAGATAGAGGCATTTTCTATTTTCTCGCAGCCACAATTTTCAAGACGTTATAACTATCTAGCATGATACATCCACAACTCCTCAGCATGCCTGTTACAATTCCACCCAGCTGTTTAAGACCAACAACATAAGCCTGCCAACATACTCTTCCATTCCACCTTCATTTTTGGTTACAGTCTCCATTCTGGGACTACAGCACTGTGCTCTCCACTACACTTGCTGACAAGTGTAATCATTATCCCTTGAAGCAATGTTAAATTTTGCCCAACACTTTCAGTTACACTTCTTGGAAGGTTTACGAGAATTCTGATAAGCCACTGTATTTGTATCAGTGCTCAGTTTTTAATGTATGATCTTAACTCAAAGGTAAAACTACAAATTTACAAGGGACAGGCCTCAAACCTGTTAATATTCTAACTCAGTATCTCACCTGAATACTAATCAACAGCAAACATCAAGGAAGGTTACAAGCATTTTGTAGTCAAAAAAGGGCACTGCTGGACAAAAACCCAAACAATGTGGTTTGTTTTAACTTACCTTTGGAAGAAGATTTCAAGTTTTAAATGTGTTATGCCCCAGGTAGCCTAAATTTGTCAATCCTGCTTCTAAAGAACACACTGTGACCTTCAGTACTGAAGGAACTCAAAAAAAGATTAATACCTAATTCTTCAATATGGCATTTAAATTGCAGACATCAGAGATAATGAACAAAGGCAAAGGGGATTGCTGGATTTGGGATTACAGTAGAGATCAAGTCAGTTTAAAGCTGTTACAGCATTCTGGCAATTGTTGCTCTTTACAAGTATGCGGAATGTTATACTTTCCTTTGCCACATTTAAAGAGAAAGTCTTATTACAAAAACCTTATTTTGGATACATTTATTCGATTTGTTCATAGCAAAAGAACTGATGATTCTTTAAAATATTTTTCCCCTTTTGGATGTAGACAGGTTCTACCACATCCCACCTCAGCATGCAGGAGGCAAAAAGGACTGTACAAGTCTTAGGAAAAGCCTGCAATTTACTCCTTAGTCACCATCTATTCCAGTCATGGCTCTGATCAAGCTCTGTCAGTCATTTTAAGGGAAGCCACTTGTCCTCTGGCTGGCAGTTGGCCAGTCACTTCTGCAATGCTTTATTTAAATCCTCCACTGTCCACGAGTCTCTTCCAAAATGAGGTATTAATGGCTTAAGGCCATCATGGTCAAGTAGCTATCTATGCTATCACAGGGAAGCCCTAAACCAATGAAGCAAGAAGTGAACACAAAATTAAAGATAGGTACTGTTGCCAAACCCTCTACCACACAGGTAAACTAAAGGCATCAAGAGTGTAATTATAAAAAGATTCGGCCTTTGGCTTTATTAGTATTAAAGGAAACACAGAACTAAAAAGTGCATCTATTCAGATAGATTAAAAGCACTCATTTTAAATTTTTATGTTTTGAATTTGAAGTGTTCAGGACTGAAAAGCAATTCGTAGTCAAGTTATAGCAGGGATTATATGATTTGTATTTGTAGACATAAATACCATAGCTTTTCCTGTCTGAACTCAGTTACACTTGCAGAGCTTTCAACAAAAATCTAAACTTGCATGATCTTGAAGGTACAATGAAGTACTTGGTTTAATCACACACCTATACAGACATGAGACATAAGAACCCAGTAGAAATGACAAAAAAAGTAATTTGTAATACTGCTTAAGAAAAAGCATGATCAAAGATGGAAAACAGTTTTACTGCAAAGTCATTTTCCTGAATTTGGAGAAAAGGAGCCATCAAGTCAGAACATACATTGATAATACCATTTACTAGATATATGCCTATCCCCTCAAATCATCTTACACAGGTTTGATGTAGACATAATAAAAACCTAAAGGATAACTGGATTGCTTTAAACTTAACATAACTCAACTGTTGCATCTGTAATGTGTGTGAATATTAAAGTTTTCTGTTCTATTTTACCATCTCCCTATCAGAGACTGCAACATCAGGTAGAAAGATAACTAACAGTGATAGATAAGCATGGTACAGTTTTGAAAACAAGATAAGGCAGAGTAAAAAAAAACAACTGTGCCACATTCAGAGAACTAATACATAAATCTTGTAATTTAAAGAAGCAAAACCTCATGTGTACAAGAAACCATAAGCTCTATATAAAATAAGAGCTCTCACTGCAAAAATTTACATAAACATGCAATCTAGAAATAAAATGAGAGAAACACAGCCACAGGAGCAAGTGTTAACTTTTATGAGCCAAGGAACAATCCCCTGGGTAGTATTAGACAATTTCACTTTTAGCAGTTCCCAGCTACTACTCTTCAGAGGCAACAACCCAGACTACTTATGCAATCACTACAGAGCTGGCATTTCTAAAGCTTGCATCACTCTTGAAAATTCTCAGAACCCTGTAATTTTAAGTGCATAAATGAATAATGAACTCTCCAAAAGCCAAAGAAAGGAGTTTCCCAGAAAGGTTCTGAAACAACTCAACCCTTCGTAGGGGAACGACAAAGTTCTGCCACCATTAAATCAAAATAAGTTCTGATGCAATTAAGAGTTCATATTAGGAAGTCTTTGGGGTAAGACAGGTTGGTCCTCCATTCCTTCTGGAGGAGTCACAGAAAAATTTGCAAGATACTAATTTATTTGTTCCAATTGCATTAACATACTGGTTTCACCTAGAAAACCTCTTACTAGGTTTAATACATAAGGCCTCTTCCCTGAAGTTTATTCAATTCCCTTAGCTAAAGAAGAGACCACAGCAGCCTTCCTTCTCAACTTTAATGACAATTGCAATAAAGTTTCCCAATCAACCCACCCCATGACTGTGTTGTCTGCATTAACAAAATTTCACACCAGTGAAAATGAAAATAGTACCATGCTGTCCAACCAGAAAATCTGTAATCCAAGTACAAAATAAGGTAGAAGACAGAGAAGACTGCAACGCAGCAGACAAATGACAAATTTAAAAAACCAACCAAACAAACCACAGACTAAACATAAATCTTTACACAATAAAAGTGGAGTTGAAGAGTTTCAGAAAGCATTTCAAAGGCAGCCATCTTGTTTCTAAGTATATAGTGCAAAAGCTTATAAACAGTATGGAAGAAGGCATAAAACATGACTGAAAGTTATAACAACTAACTAAAGTGTCATGGGATTTATCAGAGTTAAAGGTCAACATCTTAATAACAAAGAAATGACACCAATTTACACTTAACAGGGTAAAGGGAAACAAAGTATATCACATTGATCTTGTTCTTCAGGACACTGATGCATATAAATTAGGTATTGGCTACTTATGGTCATCTCTGATTTAATCACTTCATTAATAAGAAGGAATTTTTTTCCCTTCACTGGTGAATATGAACATAGAAAATCCAAGCAACTGCAAGCAGTAAATTGTGCCATGCTTGTGTGAAAGAACAGCAACTTCATATTTGGAAAAGTAAAGTAACATATAGAACAGAGGAAACCATTCAAAATATTAAGCCAAAGCATGCAAGCATCACTAAGAACCCGGAGACTAATAAGCAAAGTCACAGAGTTTTCACCAGTAATTAAAACAGATTATACTTAAGCTATTATTTAGCATTTTATAGTCTGTCAGATGATGAAAGACAAAACTACCCAAAAGAGTCAAACCACACATTTTATAGGTAAAACATTTACTAGACAATTAAAAGTTCTTTCAGCTTCTCCATTTCTCTGCAACATTTCGGAGATAAAACAGTTTTCGACCAAAGTACCTTCCCAGAAAACAGACTGTTCAAAACTTCCACTCCAACAAAGAAATAAAACAATGGTCCAGCAAAACTGAGAATTAATCACTGGCTGACCTACATAGAAATAGGAACAGAACAGTTACTTTACAAGAAGATATTAACTTGACCTAAAGACATACTGAAATAGAATTTGCTATATATAGGTATACTCTCATGAGGCTGCTTTCAATTACACCAATTTAATTCTCGGCACCTCCAGGTAATATAAAGCCAAAAAGAGCCAGGGACTTTCAGCAAACAGCTCTTGAGAACAATGCCAGTACTAACTCTGCCAAGTTAATTTATAGTTCAATACATCCCTCCAAAATTAACAGTCAAAAAATTAGTGATATTCTCTGTAATACTTCAGTCAAGCACTCTTGCCACTGGATTGATGAGAGGTGTGAAATGTAGGCTTTCTCTTCTCCGCATTATTTATTAAACATGCTTTAGTATATTGTGGAAATTACTGTCACTTAAAGGCATAGTACTTGTACCATGCTTACAAATTTAAACTTATTTTTGGAGTAATTTTCAAAAAGCTAAAAGCAAGTGTTAACAACATCTGTAGAATCAAACACTCTACCTCTTAAAAATATGAGTTGTGACACTCCAAATACAATAAAGTGAGTAAAACCAAGGGTGGCCCAGTCTTCTGGAATTTCTGAACTTCCTGGTGTCACTTGTACTGAGATCAGACATAATACTGAAAACCCTAATTCTACAGGCAGGAAGAAAACTTGCAATAATTAGATAAGTTTCACACTACTACTCTTCAGCAACACTACGAGCATTAGAAAGGAGTAATAATACTTCTCTTTGCAAAGGATTTTCCAAAAGCAGGAAAAGAGTTATAGTAGCCACAGAACGTTCAGCAGAGAAAACACATCTCTAACTTCTTCAACAAATAGCTACAGGCTTGCTTGTGACTGATCAGATACACTCTCACATATGTATCAGCTGAGGCAAATATGAAAGATGAGAACCCAGCTAGAAATTAAATGGAGCATGTTATCCTCCAACAGCAGCCGACAAATATACAAATTAATGTATTTGTTCCCAACACGTCTGGTAAAGGTCTGTTGCCACAAGCTATTCACCAACTTGTACACGCGAAGAATGGGAGATCAGTTAGAAAGTAAGTTTAGAACGCTTCATTTTTCCAGGGGGTTTAGACATAGCAGATTCACTGTACTGCTGCAAGTGCTATTTATAGAAGGGAAGGGAAATAGCAAAGATACATTCTAGAAATTAAGAAATTAAAGTAACAGATTATACTGCATCATATAACAGTACTATACTACACAGTGTAAAAGACTATACAGGACTAGAATATAATTCCCTATTCACAGAAGTAGGTTGGAAATACTCAAGAACAATGTGACCAGCTCATCTTTCTGTACCAACTAATTATCATAAATTTTTAGATTTTAACACTGTACTCAGTAATGGGTTAACTGCGAAGGTTAAGGCTTTGGGAACACTTGCACAGGTATTTTTAAATAGATCTGAGAAGGCCTGGAGGAAAAATAAAGCTGATGCAGCTCTACTGCATGTAACAGTCTACTAAGAGTTTAAGAGTCAAACTTCCCTGCTCAAGGTCATTTAAGTGCCAATTCACATAGGCTATACCACAGGGACTTAAAACAATCAGGGAAGTCACACAGGTCAGAGTCCAGTACTTGATCAGATGATCTAAGAGCACAGAAACAGGCTGTTTAAACAGATGCTGTCACCAGACTTTCTTCTCATTTAAGA